CTATTTCCACCTTTTGCCTATTGTGGATGGTGGTGCAATAAACACTGGTATAGATGTTTCTGCTGCCAATTCTTTGGGTCTATACCTAGAAGTGGAATCACTGGGCCATACAGTAATTCTGTCTTTAACTTTGTGAGGAACCGCCAAACTGTTTTCCACAGTGGCTGTGTCATTTTTGTCCTCACCAGCAGTGGAGGAGCATTCCATTTTCTCTACAACGTCACCAACACCTGTTGTGTCTGGTTTTTAGATCATAGCCTGGATGTTGTATCATTCTTCTTGACCTGAGCCACAGAGAAGGTGAAGGGTTTTGAGATGTGGTCACACTGAGCATCAGCCACTTAACGATACAGTTGAATATGGCTCCTTTCTGCAAAGTGACCTGTTTGTCTGCTTATTTTATTATTTTTTTTTTTCAGTATGAATGAACCTGCTTTGGTTTCTGTTGCAGCAAACCACACTCACCAGCGCACTGTGGATGAAGTGACATCCATGCCACGTACACACAGCTCTGTAGTCAGGGAAGGGCTCAGCCGGGTGGTTCTCCAGTCTCGCCAGCAGTCACCCCTCGCGTGCGGGATTCGCGGGTCAGCTGGGAGCTGGGCTGGCTCCGGGTCCTGCCCCATAAGCTCCCTGTGAGAGCCACTTTATGGCTGAGTAATAGCCATTGTGTTCATACACAGCATTGTGTTTATGTATTTGTCCTTATCCACTGTGCGCTTGGGTTGTTTCCACCTTTGGGCCATTAAATGTAGTGGTGCAGTGAACACTGGTGCACAGGTTTCTGTTTGAGTCCTTGCTTTCATTCCTCTTGGGTTTGTATTGGGTCATATGCTAATTCTATTCACCACACCTATTCAGTCTGTATGTGGAGCAAATAATCCGAGAAGCTGGACTATATGAAGAAGAATGCAGCATCAGGATTGGAGGAAGACTCATTAACAACCTGTGATATGCAGACGACACAACCTTGGTGGCTGAAAGTGAAGAGGACTTGAAACTTTTACTGATGAAGATCAAAGACTACAGTATAGATTACCTCAACAAAAAGAAAATAAACTGGACCAATAAGCAACATCATGATAAATGGAGAAAAGATTGAAGTTGTCAAGGTTTTCATTTCACTTGTATTCACAGTCAGCACCCAGGAAAGCAGCAGTCAAGAAGTCAAACAACTTACTGCTTTGGGCAAATCTGCTATAAAGACCTGGTTAATAAAGAGCAAGGATGGCACCTTGAGGACTAAGGTGCGCCTGACCCAAGTCGTGGTACGTTCAGTCATCTCAGATGCACGTGAGATCTGGACAGTGATTAAAGAAGAGTGAAGAAAAATCGATGCCTTTGAATTATGGTATTGGCAAAGAGTAGCGAATATGCCATGGGCTGCCAGAAGAAAGAACAAGTCTGTCTTGTAAGAAATACAGCCGAGTGCTCCTTGGAAGCAAAGACGGTGAGACCGTCTCGTACTTAGGACATGTTGTCAGGAGAAGGATATGATGCTTGGTAAAGTGGGGGGTCACTGAGAAAGAGGAAGACCCTCAGTGACACGGTCTCACCGTAGCTACGATAATGGACTTCCACATGGCAGTGATTGTGAGAATGGCATAGGACTGGGCAGGGTTTGATTCTGTTGTACACAGGGTCGCTATGGGTCAGAGTGAACTCTGTGGCACTAACAGTGGTACGCCAACTCTATTCTGAATTTTTCAGGAACCAAGAGACTGTTTTCCCCAGCAGCTGGGTAATTTCTTTTTCACTGTAGGCTTTCTTGCTTAGGAAAGCAAGACTGGTCGGAGGAGACAGTATTCCAGGTCTTTGAGTCGGGGCCCACTCGATGGCCCCTAACAACAACAGCAGGTCGTGAGACTGTGCTGGGAGGTTTGGCATGGGGGGCGGGGCGTGAGGATGACGGGGAGGAGGTCAAAGCTGAGTCCACAGTAACGCTCATGGATTGTCCGACAGGTGAAGAGGGAGGTCTGAGAGTGGGAGAGTCGTGGTCTCCTGACCCCAGCAGGCCCCCAGTGCTCTGCACAACCCCATGGGGTCGTTCACACAGTGATAGCGTAACAGTCTGACTTCCTGGTCGCAGGTCAGGAGGACAAGGCCTATGCCTGTGCTGCCCACGGTCTTCCTCGAGTGCTAGACTCAGGGTAGGCACTCCACGCGTGCTGTGGATAAACATGCTCTACTGAAGCAAACAGAACAAAGCCAAGGAGAAGGGGCACGGGTGTGGCCATGAGCTCGTCCTGTCTCCACTGAGCTGAACAAGTGCAGATGACCCGCCTCCCATCAACAGGAGGGTCCGAGGCGGGACACGGTGCTGGGTGGGCCAGAGTGGGGCCAGAGGGAGCCGGAGGGTGGCCAGGCCGGGCACCCTTCCATTTAGGATACCTGGTCTGCGTGCTGCGGTGTTTTGGGTGTGACCGTAAAACCACTTGAGTGGCTCTGTGTTCATGCCGGCGGCCGCACAGAGTTGTGTTAGGAGTTTATTCTGTGGTGCCCGGACGCCCTGTCGGGCCCACGTCGTCTGAGAATACAGCTGGCGCCCAAGGAGGGGAGCTCAGCCGGAGGCACTGGGACTAAGTGGCTTTCAGGACGCCTCTTGCGTGTGGGTGTTGGAGCAGGCCCTGGCCCTGTCGCCCTGGAAACCTGCTCGCTGGGTGTGGTGGGGAAGCCTGGCCTGTGACTCAGCCACAGGGAATTCCCTAATGATGGAGAATATTTTTATTCTGGCCGCTGCCCAGTTTCCTACTGAGGAGGCCAGCACCGATAAGGCCAAGCACACAGGCCTATTCAGCCACCGCCCTTCCTGGCCGGCTGGCTCCTGGGGCCCCAGCGGCTTCTCTCAGCTCCGTGCCGGTCGCTAGCACTGTGCTGCTGGTGGAAACCCAAGCAGAGGCCGCATACTGCCAGAGCCCATCACATGCTGAGGCAGCAGCAGGGTGCTCTTGTCCCAGTAGAGCATGACCGGAAGCAATGCGCCTCCATTCTGGGGCTCTGGAACCAGCAAGAACACAGCAGGCAGCCCGGCTCCTTGAACATGGTGGCAGTGCATCTGTAACTTGTGCTGTTGGCAAGTTGGAGGTGGAAGTTGTCGGTAGCCAGCTACCGGGCAGACATGGCCTGCTCACTATGGAAATGTCTATGGTCCATGACCGCCAGGACCCTTTGGGCTTTGCAGTGAAAATACCTCACCCCTCTGTGGGCACATTTCCTCACAGATAGGTCCCCACAAATGGCTCTGTCCTCCCCTTTCACGTAATTGTGCTGCATAAGCCTGCAACGTAGATACGGGGGTCAGGGTTGCCAGGGGTCCCTCACAGAGAGGACCAGGCCGCATGCTGGTGTGCACGTCTGTCTCCTATGCGTCTCCCACAGTGGGTAGGCTGAGTGCCGTGAACCCCGTCCCTGCGGGTCTCCCTTTCCAAAGCTCCTTTCTGACAACAGACCTGGGTGCTTGCAGGGCCCTCTGGGTGAGCCTTGAACCAGGCCTCTTAGCACTTCTGCTGAGGGTAGAGACCAGCACAGCCAGCTGTGTGCAAGCCTGAGGTCCTCACAGCCAGGGGGGCTGGACTGGGAGATGAGCTTTGTCAGAATGAAAGCTCCACAGTTTTTCAGAAGGCAGCAAGAAAGTGGGTCCATTTAGCAGGTGGGAAAGGTGGTCCTTAGAGGGAACGTTTGAGGGTCCACTGGGGTGTTAGTTAAGCAGGAGGACCCAGGGTTCTGACCCCCCCCCCCAGCCAAGGCAGGTGCTGCCTCACCTCAGTCCCTGCTGGGGTTAGGAACCCCATTTTTTCTGCATCCCAGGGCTCGCCCCTTCCAGGGACTTTACTGCTCTGTGAAACTCTGGGTGCCTTTCAGAGCAGTGAGGCTGGTCACAATTTCCCGACCCTTTTTCCTAGAGGGGAGGTGGGTCTGGTCCCTGTTGGATTCTATCCGAGGGGCTCTTAGGTGGACAGTGTGTGCTGGGACGTGGGTCTTGTGCCACCCCCCACCCCTCACTGTGGGCATGGCTCTGCCCCCCACCTCCAGGTGGGCATCCTCATGTCTGTGACAGGTGCATACCCTCCTCTGTGGAAACAGCCAAAGCCAAGTCTAAGGGTGTGACCTGTGCTTTCAGGAGCTGACTTCACTCGGAGAAAATAAAGATGGGACGAGGCCTCCATAAGTAGTGAGCATCTCTGGATTCCAAGTGTTTTCCCACAGCTGGGCCTCAGGCAGCGTGCCCGTCAGGGGACTTCTCAGCACTGGCAGTGGCCAACCTTTGAGCAGCCCTGTCCTGCCACCCGCTCGTGCAGTGCTGGGAACAAGGCTCCTTTCATGGGCCTTTTTTTAAACATGCAAACGGCCGCTGGGGTAAAGTTAAAAATACCTTATGTTTTGCATTTATGTGTCCTGATGTGGCAAGAAACAGTCAAAGAAGTGACGCTTATTTCCTCTGGCCGTGCCTCTGTGGGCAGCATGGCCCTGGGGCCAGTGAGGGCCAGGAGTCATGATGAAAACGCCCCTTTGCCCATGCCTTCGAGCTGTGCAGCAGCACCTCCTCCTGGGCCCTGGAGGCTGCGTCCAGCTTTCTGCAGACAAGGAAGCCTGGCTCGCTTCACACACCACCCAGCGGATGACATTCTTGTGTGTGTGCCCTTAAAAAGACTGGGGTGAAGAAATCCCTCAGGGTGGACATTGGCAGTGGTGAGCTGCTAGTGAGCACAGGGGAGCTGGCTTTCTGAGGATACTCTGTGGGTGCTGCCAGGGGGGCTGCGTGGCTCCCAACCTTGTGTTCACCATGAGCGTGGCAGACACAGGGCTACCCTCTGCTCATGTGACACCTGGGCAGGGCCAGCCTTCCCGGAAGCCAGACCTGGTCAGGGTTGGGCTCTCTTCCTTAGGTGTTGTCTCACCTCTCTGAGCCTCCTTTTGCCTGGATCGAGAGATAAGATTTTGGGGATGGCATGTTTCATCATCCCACTTTAATAGATTTTCTTATCACCTGTTTCTTCTAGATGGTCACCACGTCTGGGAAATGGAAGCGAAAACTGACAGAGAAATGTGCAAGCCAGTGAGTATTGCTGCCCATGGCCACACCATGATGTTGTGTGCTCTCAGGGACCAGGGGGCCCAAGCGTTCTTGCTGGTTAAAGGAACAGACTAACAAAAACAACAGATACAATAATAGAGCTGGTGGTAAAAGCGATTGTAACATTCTTCCCAAAGCAGTTGCCACAATGATAGCAACTAGTCTGAGGACTGAGGAGCCCTGGTAGCACAATGGCTGGGCACTCGGCAGCTAACTGAAAAGTTGCTAGTGACTCCAGGGGAGAAACACCTGACGATGTGTATGGATCAGTGTAGGAAACCCCAGGGAGCAGCTCAAATCTCACGTGGAACCACTGAGTCACCATCGACTTGACGGCACCCAGCCACCACCAGTGTGAGGGCTCAGGGCAGTGACAGGGACCACAGGAGAGGACAAGCTGAATGGGGCCTTCTTACCCAAAAGGTGCTGAGACACAAAGCAAACAAACCAGTCACCACATGGCCCCAGGTGGAAGTGTCACCACGTGAAGGCCTTCTGTGTCCTGCACGAGGAGCTGGTCAGCAGATTCCACACAGACCACAGCAGGCACCGTTTCACGCAGTGATGGTAGACCAGAACCCTGGTGTGTCTCACCCGAGGAGAACATGGGCTGTGGACTTGTTTTTACCACAGCAGGCACTGATTTACTGAGCTTTTCTTATTGTTTGTGATTTCAAAGTCTTTGTGAGACCAGGTGGAAACACACCACGCCGACACTGTCTGGCATTAAGAACTAGCACATTCTGGCATGTAGAAATGTCTCTGTGAGGCCCCTTGTCTAACCCTGATACACATTGGTGTCTACACATTGTCCGATCCAGCCATGCTGTGGAAGTGGGGTCACCCAGTATCGGTCCTTCCATTTCTGGCTAATTTCACCAACCAGCTCTACTGCTCCTGGGCAGCTGCCACACCCCTACATCTGTTGAGGGTCGATGGTCTCGTTTCCTTCAACTTGAGCGATTGTAGGCATCTGTGCCTTGTGTGTTTTGGCCATATTCATAGAGGTTTCCCCAGAGATCCAGGCGGGAATCCTCTAGTGAATCAGGTCAGGTCTTGGGGAGGCAGGGAAGCTGCCTCAGAGCAGGTGCCCCCTGCTGCCCTGGGCACACCTCCAGGAAGCCCTCTGCTGCCCTCTGTGTGGCCTGTTACCCAGACAGGCACTTGCTACGTGAGAGGCATCTCCACTAACAGGTTGGCAAATGGTGGTGTGCTTTAGTCTTGGAGCAGGCAGTTCAGGCCTTCTGAGGAGCTGTTACCACACAGGTGTCCTGGGCAGCCTCACCCAGAGGACACTAGGAATGTGGTGTCCTAGTCCAGCCTGGGTACCCTGGCTTCACTGAAGGCTGCATCGTAGGTGGACCGCACCTGGTCCCATGCCCCTCCCCACAGGGACTGCCTGCTGTGCCCGCCTGCACACACTTGCTCGTGTGAGAATCTCAGATGTGTGAGCGTCCATGTGGATGTGCGCTCTCCGAGCACTGCTGCCTGTGCCAGCTGGTGTGAGAGAGGCCGTGCGCCTGTGTGTGCATGCACATGAGCCAGCACCGAGCGCACACCTGCCACCACCTGAGGCGCTAACGTCCCCTCTGTTTCCATCTCTCTCAGAACTCGCTGGTGGTTGAGATCCCCCCGTTCCGTAACCAGAGGATCACCAGCCCAGTGCAGGTCAGCTTCTATGTCTGCAACGGGAAGCGGAAGAGGAGTCAGTACCAGCACTTCACCTACCTTCCTGCAAATGGTAACACCGTCTTTCTAAGCTTAACCACTGACAGTGAGAGGATGGGGTGCTTTTTCTGACAGATGCAGAAACATGCCAGTGATGTACACGGACATGCTTGTACTGCATGTGGGAACTGCTACTCCGTCATGGTTTCGCAGGTGCCTTAGATAGAAACCCTTGCTATTACGCCCGAAGGCTGGCGCCTCAGGCGGCCATCAGTGGACAGGGACCATTTCTGTGCTTGTGCTAGCATGCCACGGAGCGCTGCTCGTCGGATAGCTCCCTCTCTGTGACAGGGGCTCCCCACAGTCTCTTCATACAGCCGGAAGCTTCCTCCTTTAGACACCCTCTCTCACATCTCAGTGATGGTGAGGGGGTGGTGCCTTGAAGAGAACCAGTGAGCTCGTCTATCTTTTAGGATGTTTTCTTAAAGAAAACCATTGTTTGTTTTCTCACCCCTAAACTGGGAGAGGAGGGAGGTGTTCCCCAGGGTCCTGGCAGCTGGGACCTTGATCTCAGGGGATGGGACTTACTGGGAGTCTGGGTCAGTCATTTCAGCCACCTTCCAGCCTTACTGTCAGAGGGAAAATACAGTAAAACCTGCAAAAGCCGGAACCCGTGCAAGATGGAAACCTGTCAGAGAAGGAAACTGCAAATACATTCCGCTAATGGAGAGAGAGAGGGAGCTCTGGTAGCGCAGTGCCTAAGGCACTTGACTGCTAACCAGAAGGCTGGCGGTTCAAACTGACCAGCCACTCCTCGGAAGGAAGATGGGGCAGTCTACTTCCGTAGTGATACTGCCTCGGAGACTCAAGGAGGGGTCGCTATGAGTTGGGTCCAACTCGATGGCACATAACAACAACAACAACAACACAATGGAGAGAGAGGGAAAAGGGATGAGACTGTACCCTGCCAAAAGCGGGAAAACTTGAGAGAACTGGATAAACAAGGCAATCCCATCAAGTCCTGCTCTCCCAGGTTTCACTGTATACACTAAACAAAATCGCAGAAGCAGCTGTGTTGTTACTTTGGTAAGAATCAAGAATTTTTCTGAAAGCTTCAGTCAGCTTTAAACATGAAATAGCACTTGCCATGGACAAGACGGTAAGAACGCCCTAGGCTATCCATGCTGATACGCTGGGAAGCAGTGAGGGCTTCCCAGGCAGGTCTGGTGGTGCCTCTGGGGATTCAGAGTCTGTGATTTGGTTATAAAGTTGCCAAATCCAGGGAGGGTGTGCACAGTGAGTTCTAGACAGATGCACATAGGCGTCCACTCAGTCGGGCCCCAGGTGGGAGCCGTCCTCGAGGTCTGTGACCCTTTGTGACTTCTGGGCTCTGTATCATGCATGCTTTTCTTGGACTAAAAGTTTCAACACATCTTATGAAAGAAATAGCTTTTTCTGGAAAATGTAACGATTGTTCTAATTAAGCTTCAAGCATGGTTGACAAAACACGGAACGTTTTAAAGAGAAGTGAGGCCTTAGAGACCACTTTCTAAAGCTGTGTAGAAAACAAGATGCACGCTTTTTTCCTTGTTGACTTGGCGTTTTGCATCTTCTAAGACAAGTGTACATGGCTGTGTGTTTTCACACGGCCGCACATGGTGAGGGAAGTGGAGGGGCCCAGGAGGATGACACGTACGCCCTGCTCACAGCTGAGGAAACTGAGGCTCCAGCAGGGCATCGGGGGGACTGTAAGGCCGGGCAGCTCGAGCCCACAGCACTTCCCTAACTGAGGCCACTGCCCCATGTCCAGCTGTGTGCCTTCACCTCAGTTGAGGTCACCACCACCGTCCAGCCACACGATTTCCCTCACCCGCCCCTGGTTGAGGCCACCGCCCGGTGTCTAGCAACACGCTTGCACCACTCCATCCCCCTCAGTTGAGGCCACCACCTGGCGTCTGGCCACAGACCTTCACCCCCTCGCCCTCCACAGCCAGCTGTGGTCCCAGTGGCTGCGCATTCTAACTCTGAGCACGTCTGCCCCTGCCCGGCCCTGCTTCCTGTCAGTGTCTCACCTGGACCTGGCTTGGCCCTCACACCTGTCCTGCCCAGCGTGGAGCCTTACCTGACGTGGACAGCTGGACCGCTCTCAGGGTAGCTACAGGCCCCGTGCTTGGCCTGGGGGCCCCAGGGTGCCGTGTGCCTGGCCCTGGCCACTCTCTCATCCTCACTTTCCACCACTTCTCTCCTCTCACCGCCTGAAGCCATGCCCACCCTGTGCCCAGGAGCTCCCTGGCCTGGCCTTCCTCTGCATGGACACTTCCCAGCCCCGCATCAGTCCTGGAAACACAAGTGACCTGGCCTCGGCCTGGCCGGAGCAGCCACCAGTGCCTGTGGTTTTCGCACATTTAAGTCAATGAGTGCAGGAGATGACGGCGGCCAGGCATCCAGTTTTGCACTAGTGTTTTCCCCAGATTTGGCGCCGAGGTCCTGTACTAGATGGCCCCTCAGCCACTGGTGACGGTGTCTGCACAGACCTGTGTGACAGCCAGTGTGCCTGCCTTGGCACTCTAGCACATGCATCTTCCATGAGGCAGGCCCATCACCTCAGGCAGAATTGCCAACTGCAGTTTCTGAAGACAGCAGGGCAGACAGAAGGGCCAGGCCCACAGACGCACAGGCGGCTGCACTGTGGGAGCGCTAAGGGGGGCGCCAACACCTTTACAGGGCTTTTTTCTGAAACCCGAGCCATGAGCCTGCTAACGTTCCCCATAGGGTTCTGCTGTGCGTGAGAATTTCATGTTCATCCACACAAACATGTCTGCTCTCAAGCCAGGCAGAAGCTAACCTGGTAATTTTTAATTTACTTATTTAGGCAGGCAAATCTTCTTAAGGTCCTAAAATGCGCTGTTAAAATGTACAGTATAATGGAAATAAACCCATTCAACCCCACCCATGAAATTCATTCTCATGTTTGGTTATGGGAAATTATATACCATTTTAGATTTTCCTCAGAATTAGGTATCACCAAACGTAACGTAACCACATAACTTCCTCTCTCTGTGTCCGGCAAGGCACTGTTCCCCAAAGATGCGACGCTAAGAACAGGGCCCCTGGGAAGCCATTCCTCCCCAAACCACTGATGTGCACATGACACTCCCCTGCCTGAGCTGGGCCCGTGTCTCAGTATTGGGACAGGAGCCCACGGTGGTGGCCCCCTTTCTTCTCTGCCCCCACCTCAGCTTCCTCCCCTGCCCACCTCCCCATCCCCGTGGTCAGACTGGACACAAGAGGACAGCAGCTGAGAGGCGGGGCTTCATGGCTGTCGTGTCATGGCTCGTGGCTCCGTGAAGGGCCTGGGAGGATGATCTGGTTGGCTTGGGCCTTGCTGGAGGCTGGCCAGGGGGTGGACTGGGAAGAGTGTCATTGTGAAAGGAGGTACAGAGCCAGCTTCTTGCCTTGCCCCTTCCAGAAGCCCTGGGGGAGGTCTCGGACACAGAGCAGCTGCCCTTGGTTCAGTCACACGGGATGCGAGACACTCACTGCCCAGTCAGGAAGCACCTGCAGGCTGTTGCTGCTTTGTAGACCTGTGCCCAGGTCTGCCGTTCAAGGGGATGGTGCTGTGGCTTCCTGGTGTGTGATGGATGCTGTATGATGCCCTGGCACCTACTGTGAGCAGACTGCCAGGAGCATCTGTCGTCGAGATCAAGGCGAGAGAGGAGTGGGCAGTCTGGGCAGTGGTCTTGGCACGGGTGTCCAGCCAGAGCCCTTTTGAGCCACCCCTTGTATTGGGGGCTGGAGGGGTGACCCCTGTGAGAGAGAGATTACAGGGTTGAGAAGGTCAAAGCAAGCAGCAGAGTCAGTATTTCTTTAAGGTGAGAAGATAAGTGACAATGAAGCGTGGGAGCCTTTGAAATTCAGGTTAATCTTTTGGGTTTACGAAGCTTCTTGGATGTGTTCTGGCTGCACCTGACTCCCCTGCCCCTTCTGGGAGAACGTGGCCAGGTAGACCTGCCTCGGTCCTGGACTCCACTGTGTGAAGACACATTGCTTCTGAGTGCCTGCCCATGCACCTGCCCTTGTCTGAGGTGGGCCCCGCCTGGCCACAAACCCACGCCTGGTCTTTGGCTGTCTGCTAGCCGGCTGATTGACTTAATCGTGGCTGTTGGGCCAGGACACAGATCCACCCAAAATGAACGTTCTCTCTGGCTCGATCAGGCCGGTGGGAAACTGGGGCTGTGCGGGCCCAGTGTTAGCAAGTCGGGGGAGCAAACCCCATGGAAAGAGACGGAAGCACCCGCTGGTTCTGCTCGTCTTGCCCTTCTCGGTGTCAGTGGAAGAAACTGCTCTTGAATCCATGCTGTGGTCGTAAGTGAAGGCTGACGTCACGCTTCTCCCTGAGGGGGTGGAAACAGGACATAGAGTCCAGTGTTACCTGGTGCATGTTTCTAAGCCCACAACCGAGAACATCAGCATAAGAGCCCAGAATGGCACCAAGCAGAGACCTGGGGCAGCTGGTCAACCTGGGAGCCAGCCAGCTGAGAGTGCTCGGTGGGGAGCTGAGGGAGAAGGGGCCGTTCTCCCACAGGATGGGGCTCCCGGATGCCAGGCCACAGGGGCTGGAGGCTGGAGGGGGTTGTCTTCACCGACATCACCTAGACAACAGCGCTCAGCAGGGTCGTGTGGCTGCTGCGTCCGTGTCTTTGTCTCCTTGTGATTCCAGAATGTGGCTCCTGACATGATGAGCATGTGATGAGCCCGGCCTGTGAGGAAACCGTGCCCTGCATGTGCCTCATAGAGGTCACACTTGGGGAGCTGCTGCTGGTCAAGGCCCCGAGACACACCTGTCACCGTTGTGTGTGGGTGGAATGGAAAGCTGCACGCCCGGGCCGTGCGGCCCCAGTGCCCTGAACGCAGCAGGCACGGGGACTCTCCCAGCGAGTGTGGGCTTATTCCCAAGCTCACTGCACCAAGAGTGTAATTCCCACTTCATCTTCATTAAAGCAGCAGACATGCTTGAGAACGGCTCTGAATCGTTGTCGTTCTCTGTTGTAATGAAACACCAGAGTGATTTGG